TTTGCGAACCCCCGTCTTGGACGTCCCCCTCTTGGACCCCCCCGACATGCGCGTCTTCTCGCGTCCAGGTGGCGGGGCTTGCGCGTAATGCTTCTTTATGACGTCACTCAGGCGCCGATCTCTGCCGAGTATTCCAGATGTTTCCTCTCGGTGCCCGAGAGCGTTTGTTTTGTCTTGCCTTTTTCTTCTCATCCTGTGGATGGAAAACACAAACACAACAAATCGCCAATTCCGAGGAAAAATGAGAACACATGGGAAGTGGAGGGAAGACGAACATTCAGGCAATATGGAACATATGGGGAATCCCAGGTCGGACATTGGAGCATATACATTACCAGTGGCGGGCTGTTTTACATTCCCAGGATTTTGTTAGGGTCGGGGTCGAAATCGGGGTGGTGTGGTGTATACTTGTTCCCCGCTCTCCCGGGGAAACAACGAAGAATGTATACACAAGGATCCTGTATACTACAGGATCAGCTCTCCTGTGCGAGTTTCAGTGCTGGGCCGGAAACAGCGTCGGTGTGTAGAGTTCGGCTGCTTACTAGGATTTGTGTTTATTTGTTTGTGTGTCCCTGGGGCCATTCACATCCTGCTCCGCCTCGTCGTTGTCGTTTTTCTCTTCTCTATTCTCGGCATGCCACCCCGCTCGCTGACTCCCGCGCGCGTGCTCTCTGGAACAACTCGAGCAGCAGACCGTACAATTTGCCGCTGTGGGTCACGACTGTGCCAAGGTGGCTGCAACCTGAATGGCACGTCGCAGATGTTATTGAGCCCGTAGAGCTAGATCCACGGCGGGCCAGGCATCGTTTTCAATGCAATTATTGACGGTTCGGGTATCTCCACCATCCCATCCACCAACGATTCCTAGATGGGCGCCCCGATGGCCCGTATGTTGATCCCTGGCCTCTCCCTGACAGCACAGGGTCGAAGAAACTGTGACTCAACCGTATGGCCTTCCCTGATTGGCTGACTTTGCAATATAAGAGCTCTCTTGGGAGCTTTTCAGGCCCGCTTAGGCTCTCTTGGGGCCCTCTTCAGGGTCTTGGGGGTCCTCTTGGGGCCATCCTGGAGGATATCGATCAAAGCGAGGGCGGCGTCAATAGGGGTCCCCCCGTCAGAGTCCGAACATTCGTTTCATTTGGCGCTACTTGAGCATATTTTGGGCGCTGAAGGGGGCCTTCGAGGTCGTCTTGAAGCCCTGATTGGCCCCTCGTGGGGCTCTCTTCATGCGCCCTCATGAGGATTCGCTAGGCGGGGTACGGTCTTTCGGCGTGGGGGTGGGAGGAAAGCCCCATGTCTGAATAGAATCATGGGGATCGAAGAGATGCCCAGCTAAACTACGTACGCTGGCATGTCTGGTGGAATTCCACCCGTCCCATTGGTCTCCGCAGAGCAAGCTTCGGTTGAATGTCCGAGAATGCCGGTTCGGGATACTGTCCTTTTATAGCAATGAGGTTGTCGGCTGATAGGACGTAGTATGCTCGGCTCCCGTTGCGAAAATATGTTGCATTGCGCTGCCGACGCGAATTTTGGCTGTACACTCTAACCAATCATACCATATCATCTTGACAAAAAGGTGCCGCTGTGTGGTGTGACACAGCCACTTTGTACGGTGGGAAAGGAAACAGATATCCTCAAAAAGTTCACCGAGTACGATGTTCCCAAGCCGTGCGCCATCGTCCTTGGACGGCAAGGGGCGGGCTTGACCATGTGCCAGAACAGGCGGAGGGAGCGATCATTTGGCACACAGCTCGTTCGTACCGTCTCCTGGATGATTGCTTATTTCTGGTAGCGTGTTTACTACTTCTCTTTATGCTTCCCTCATGGTATCCTTTTAGTTCGCCGGCCCCTGGGGGTCCCCGGATGAAAAGTACCCCGCGGGTTCCCGGCAGGTTCGGGTCACAGATGCCGCTCGGGCGCGGCCTTGGGGGCTCCAGAGCGTCCCAGGATCGCCCACAGGAGGCGCGAAAAAGGGGGCAGGCCCCATGACCTCAGGCCGAGAGCGTTCCAACATCGTTGGTGACTCTTGGGTTTACACTCCTCCTCCTCCTCCTTCTCCTCCTCCTCCTCCTCCTCCTCTTCCTCCTCCTCCTCCTCCTCCTCCCCTATCTAGTCCCCTATCCTCTTGCCCGCCATGGGCACACCAACATACAGCAACAACGGTGCAATATGGGCCGGCGGGATGAGCGAGGCGATTGAGTTGACGGATTTTTTGCGGGCCCTCGCCGTGGTAGCCTTCGAGGATACATGATGAGAGAGAGGATGATGGAGGAGAGGGAGAAGCATGCGTAAAGGCATGGCTTCGCGCATGCCGCCGCCCAAAGAGACCTGAAGAGGGCCCGAAGAGTCTCCGGAGAGGCCAGCCGCAGGGCAGCCGCACCTCCATTCCTCATTTTGACACGTGAAAAACCGTGTGATCTTTTGGGGCACGTAGAAACAAGTGAGACGTGCTCAGATGGCCTCGAGTGGCCGCTTCGCTGGGGGCATCCTCGATGACAACAAACCTCGGGGGGGCTCCGAATATCAGTAATGTCGGTTTCGCTCGAGGCGCCCTCGACAATCTGCCTGGGAGGGCGCTTGAACATGACCCCCCCACGGGACGGCAACATGGCCCCAACGATTGGTACTCTGGGTTTCTTAATCAGCGTGGGGGGGTCCCCCTCCGACGGAGGGTCAACCTCGCCTCGTCGTCGCGCCGCGACGGGGGTCGTAGCGCCTTCGGCGCGTGGTGGCTGCCCGCGACGGGGGTCGACGTGGGGCTGTCGGCGGGGGTGACGCCCCCCGACGCTTATTAAGAAACGCGGAGTACGTACCGACCCTCGTCGAGGCAGTATCCCGAACACCCAGTGAATGCAACATATGCGTGCAAACTTCCCTCTGGGAGCCCGCCGTGTCTCCCGCCCTACGAGCTCTATTCGGCGGGACGCCTGCGGGCTCTCGCCGTGCTAGGCTTCGAGGCAAGACAATGAGGTGATGATGAAAGGGTGATCGTTTTTGTATGCCTTGTTTTGCCGATCGGCGCGGGCTCCCAAACTCCCCCTCCCCCCCATGGAGTGGATTTTGGCTGTTTTGGGGCGCCTGTGTTAAGTCGGGCACGTCCCTCTACAGAAGGAATATTCCAAAAGAGTCAAACAATAGTACGGGGACGACGTTTTTGATTTTTTTTTTTTTGTAAGTTTTGAATAGTTTCGGGGTATTTCCAATGTTTCGTCCAACATCCCCCTTTAGGGGGACATGCCCGACTTAATCCTTGTGTTGCCGATCGGCGCGAGCCCTCACCCCCCCCCATGGAGTGGGTCTTGGCTATTTTTGGGTGCCTGTTTCGAGCAGGTGGAGTCTCCCCCATGATGAACGCACTGCTGCAAACAGTTGCACTAAGCAGAGGTCCAGAGCCAGACCCTTCCCCTTCCCCCTTCCCTTCCGCCCAATGTCGAACCGCCGAATAAAAAAACGCTCACATGGAGGAGGGTGAGAAGCATGCGTGAGACATGCTAAGCGCGGCTTCGCGGAATCCGCTGGCCGATTCCACATTACCCTCTTGTTGGAAGCATGTAAAAGCACAAGTGAAGCGCGCTTCCAGCCCAACGCGAGGCCTACGCGCCTGACAGCTCCTGGGACACATGAAACCATGAGTGAGATGCACCCGCAGGGCTGCGAACGCCTCGTTTCGGTGGACCACTCACGCATTCCCCCGCCCCCCCAGGCTTCTGAGACACGTAAAACACGAGGCGCTTCAGTTCGGCACATCCCTCACGCACTCCGTGCATCGTGCCGCTGGCCTTCACGACGGCTATCAGTTGAGCTTGAATTCGGCACGCTCCTCAGGCACCTCGTGCCTCTCGGACTCCCAGGACATCTTAGCTGACCTGATGTCGGGCATGTCCCTCTACAGGAGGAATATTCGAAGATAGTTTAACAAATTGTTGAGCATGTTTTGAATATTTTTGAGGTATTTCATGTTTTCCATGTTTCTTCCAAAATCTGCCTGTAAGGGGACGCCCGACTAAAGCTACCCCCCCGGACGATTCAGGGGAGCTTCGATGAGGCACACCTCTCACGCATTTCGTGGCTCATGGACCTCCAAAGACCCCCTGTTGGCTCCGAAGACCACCTACCCCCCCAAACGACACCAAGATGGCCCTGAGAAACATTGCAACGAGCGGTACCGACCTTCGTCGAAGCCGTACACCGAACACCGACTGCTTGCAACATCTGCGTGCCTGTGGCTCCAACATGCATAAGGCATTCTAAGAGGGACTTCGCGGATTCACCTGGCCGATGTCAGCAATTCTCCGGGGGGCACGTTAAACTACGAGTGAAACGTGCTCCCAGCGCCAGGCCCATGTGCGTCACAGCTCCTGGGACACATACAAACATGAGTGGGCTGCGTCCGTAGGGCTGCCAAAGCCTCGTCCCATCGTGCCCCTCACGCATCTCTTGCCTGACATTGTCTTGCTACTCGTAAGAATACGAGTGATCATGTCCCTCCTGGCTGCGACACTGTAATTTCGGTTCGCCCCTGCATTTCCTGCTCCACGCTCTACTGGCACATATAAAAAAACACGAATCATCTGCGCTCCGAGGTCCACGCGGGGCTTAATTCCAAATACTCCTGACGCCTCTTCGGTTCAGACTGTTTCTGGTTCGCGCGCACGTGGCGGCCCCTGGGGGTCCCCGGACGAAAAGTACCCGACGGGTTCCCGGCAGGTTCGGGTCCCAGATGCCGCTCGGGCCCCAGAGCGTCCCAGGATCGCCCACAGGAGGCGCGAAAAAGGTGGCAGGCCCCATGACCTCAGGCCAAGAGCGTTCCAAAATGGCCCAAGGTGATCTCAAGATGGCCCAGGAGGCGCCCAAGACGCCCAAGGAGGGCTTCCGTAGCCATTTTGGCTCAAGGCTTCTTAGTACAAGTACTTTTGGTCTCTGATCGTCATAGCTCCGTATAGCTGTCGATACCGAATAGTTTCGTCTAACTTCATTTTCAATCCTGCACGGTCCAAGCTATGTTTCGAGTCCTGGCGCAGTTGTGCGCAGTGGGGCTTGTAACTACTTGCGCTGAGCACGTGGACCTGCAGCTCATGCAGATGCACACGGCCAGTCTCTTGCGTGGCAGTGAGATCTGGCCGGGATGCCGTACCTCAACCCAGGGCGACGAGTGTTACGAGAAGGTGATGTGGGCGATGCGAACGGGCATCAACCAACACCCAAAGTGGTATCTCCCTCTGACGAGTAATTCCAGCTTCGAGGACTTCCAGCAGCACCTGCACGCCGTGGATCGGCTCTCTGACGTGTGCCCCAAGCCATGTGCAGCGGCGCAGTCAGAGGAGCGACCGACCGAGCAGTTGCCCGCAGTGCCACAGGAGTGTCGCACCAGCGTTGAGGGCGACGAGTGTTACGAGAAGGTGATGTGGGCGATGCGGACGGGCATCAAACAACACCCAAAGTGGTATATCCCTCTGACGAGTAATTCCAGCTTCGAGGACTTCCAGCAGCACCTGCACGCCGTGGATCGGCTCTCTGACGTGTGCCCCAAGCCATGCGCAGCGGCGCAGTCAGAGGAACGACCGACAGAGCAGTTGCCCGCAGTGCCACATGCATGCCGCACCAGTGTTGAGGGCGACGAGTGTTACGAGAAGGTGATGTGGGCGATGCGGACGGGCATCAAACAACACCCAAAGTGGTATATTCCCTCTGACGAGTAATTCCAGCTTCGAGGACTTCCAGCAGCACCTGCACGGTGTGGACAAGTTCTCCGATGTTTGCCCCAAGCCTTGCTCTTGGCGGTCAGAAGACCAGCTCCGGATAAGTAATGGATCCCCGATGCCTACAGCTCAATATGCCGGAACTCCGATGCCTACAGCGCAGCATGTCGGAACTCCAATGCCAACAGAAATCCATGAGGATGACCTACTCGTATCGGCCTACCCTGGATACGAGCAAACCGGTCGTAACTGCCAGTGTGGAACACCAATCAAACAGTTCTCAGAAGAATACGATTCTCTCGAGTTGTGTGCCGCGGAGTGCAATTTGTACCCCAACTGTGCCGCCATTGCTCTTCATCCTTGGCAGTCTATCTGGAGAGGCCAATGCGATCTCTACAATGCAACGTGTGTGGAAACGAACGGGCATGACTCCAACACCACCTGTGCCAACCCAACCCCGCTTGGAGCCCTCAGTGTCAATTTTAACCGGGTACCGACGCCCGCTCCCACGCCTGCACCCACGCCTGCACCAGACCCTTGCGATGTTACGGATGGATCGTTTCCGAGTGCTTTCTACCCGTGTCAGTGCGGGCCTGATGTGGTGTGTGTCACAAGCGAGGTTTGCTCAAAGGACAGGCGAGGCTATTCGTGCTCTCCTCCGGGCATTCTCAAGGTAGAATGGCCGTGTTTGACGACTTCGATCGGCAGCCCCTACTTCGTGCTTGCTGGGAGTAGCGCAACAGGAGCGCCAGTTTACAGCAACACCGATGGCAATTACATATATTGGGATGTGTCGTGCGATGGCATCGAGCGACCTTTGCAAGATCAGCAGCCGCGATGGATTCTCGACTCAGACTCACCAAACATGACATCGACCATGGATTTAGATTCTGATTCGGAGTGCTTTTATTTTGGGCATCACGGTAGTTCTGATTTCAATGGTGTCCCTTTGGGGAGCACAGTTTGGACGGTGGCATGCGACGGTGAAGTTTCCGACATGACGGTGAACATCACTTATGAAGCATATCTTCCCACCCCATCGCCGACGATGGAACCTGGGGCACCGTGCACTTGTGACCAGGGATGTGGCATGTTTCCTTACCTTGACTTAGATGGTGATGGTTGCCTAGTGGAGGCAGAAGTGAACAAAGATGAGAGTCTCAGCGGGCACTTTACCGAGATCGACACGGACGGGGACGGCTGCGTTACCCAGACAGAGTGTGGGGACTCGCCGTATTCGAGTGATTTGTCTAGGTTCCCAATCCAGGGCCCACAAGAATGCGACTACGGATACTATTTCATGGAGGGCACCAGCGTCTGCCAGCAATGCGCCAACGGTGCCACGCGGCGGCGCCGCTCGGAGGCCTGCAGCGACTGCCCCGCGGACAAAGAGGACGTGGGCGACTTCGATAACTGCATCTCGGGGGTGTGGCTCACTGAACCACTCGCGGTTGGGTCCCGCGTTGCCTTCGTCAACAAGGACATAGACGAGAGCGGCGTATTGCTGCAGAAGGGCGATGGGATCACCATTTCGACGCGAAACCCTGGCCACTTCGAGAGAATGATTATCATCGACAAGGTTGGTTTCAATGATACCCAGAGGTTGTCGTCACACCATGAGTCCCTGCTCCGTACGAGTGGGCCTTTTTTCGTGCTGGACCACGGGGCGAACGCGCCCTTCAACACGTTCGACCCGATCGTCTCTGCTTGTACAGATGTAAGTGGAATCTCGCTTAGCGGACAGTACCCATGCGGATGCGGCATCGAAATTTGCGATTTCGGGTACAGGTGTGACGAGCAGTGCAGTGGGAACAACACGGTCCTCGATTCTTACGCGGGCATCAGCTACGGGAACGGCGGATGCTGTATCGGCCCCCCTGTCTCTACTCTGCCCACCCCAGCCCCGACGGTGTCGGCCAAGGGTGACCCGCACTTGGTCAACCTTCAAGGCGAGCATTTCGACGTTAACCACGGTGGCGAGTTCACATTGCTCCGGATCCCGCAGGCCGCCGACAGGACCGCCGAGGTGCAGCTTCAGGCAACGATCCGCCCCGAGCACGGGAAGCCATGCACCACGTACATCACCGCGGTTGAGCTATCGGGCGCGTGGATCGGTGAGGCGGTCGTGCAGGTGCGCTCCTACCTCAGGTCACACAACAAGAATGGAAGCGACGAGTTCTTAGGGCTCCGGGTGCTGGAACCAGGCGCGCCAGAAGATGTTCCGTGGACGAGGCTCGCGGATTGGACCGATGAAAACATCCTTCTCTCCGAGAAGCAGGCAAAGGAAGGCGTCAGGGTGACAATGTCCAAGTCACAGTGGCGCACCAAAAAGAACATGAAGGAAGGATTACCGACCGTAGCCGGGCAGATTCAGATCATGATGCAAAGCAAATTGAGCGAGGATTCCGCAATGATCGTCGTCCGCCAAGACCTCCCCATGCAGGAGCACCTGAATTTGGCTGTACGGCGTTTGAGCGCACTCGGTCGTGCAGACATTGGTGGACTTCTTGGGTTCGATGCGCATGCCGAGTCGCTAGAGGATGTCACGCCAGAGTGCCAGCGTCACAGGGATGGATTGGACACGAACAAAGGTCCGCACTCAACACCACGCTGGAAGATTCGTTGGCAGAAGATCAAGGAGCAGCGCGCGAGAAATCCCGCACCGGGTGGGTCAATGAACGACAACGAAGCGGCTGCCAACCTCCTTGGTAAGATGCGAATGCAAGAGAAGGACATGATGTGCGTCTGCCCCAACGAAGGTCCCATGCATCCCACAGGGGACGACTACGCCGCGAATCTGATTGGTGGCAGACGCCTGGGCGTCCTTGCCAAGTTCCAAACTGGCAGGCTTGCGGAGGCAACGTGGGACTGATGAACGCGCGTCGAATTGGCCGGCGCGATCGCCGGCAGCCTTGGGCGGATTTGCCGCGCCTGCAGGGCGGACGAGCTCCCGTGTCCCGTGTCTACATCAAGAAGCTTGCCAGGTTGCCGTTTGGGCGGCCCCGCAGGCCTCGCTACGTCGGTACAGGTCGCGAGAGGCGGCGGGGGATGGGTCAGCGGCTTCAGCGGGGGCAGGCGGAGATGGAGGAGAGAGAGCCGTCTTCTCGTAGTTCATTCACGTCAGCTAAGGACTTTAGCGGAGGAGCTCACGCGCCAAATTCAGGTTTGCGGGGTCTCTGGCCGAGTGCGCTGCAAGCGGCGGTGTTTCACTTCAGCTCGTTAGGGGCGGCAGAGATTGGTCAGAGGTTACGGTGGGAGTCGTGAAGGCGAGGGTGGAGGAGGAAGAGCCATGTAATTCAGGCGCGCATTTGTGTGCTTTTTGATCCGTTGAGTCTTCTCCAGTTTGCTTGTGCGTGCTCGATCCCCTTGTCTTCGCAATGTGTTTAATAACACGTCTCAGAGCTTTTGTGTGCCATGTGCTCACGCGCGCAGCCAGCGGGAGCAGCACGTCGATTGGACGTACCGTATGCTGAGTCCCGGAATCCCATGGCATCGGGAAAAACAGTTCCGCCCCAGGAGGGCTCCAAGACTACCCCAGGAGGGCTCCAAGACGACCCCAAGAGGGCCTCGGGAGGGCACATCATGGAACTTGCTAGGGTTTTTGTCAGATTTTGGCGTTACCGCCTTTTCAAGTCTCCGACCGCCCAGGACGACCCAAGAGGCATCCGAGATCGTCCCAAGTCAGCCCAAGAGGCTCCCAGGACGGCCCCAAGACGGCCCAAGAGGCCTCCACCGAGGGCTCCCAAGAGGCTCCCAAGAGGGACCCCAAGAGGGGCAATCCGAGCAGACATGTCGAGTCTTCCCTGAAAGTTGGCCCCCTAGGCCGTCAGCAGGCCCCGAAGAAGCCCTCGAGAGGTCACCAGGAGCCCAAAAGGATGCCCCACGGGCCCCCCACAAAGGGCCCCAGAAGGTTTCAACAGTGCTGCCAGGAGGCCCCCCGAGAGACATCCTGAGGGACCCCAGGAGGTCTTCCAAAAAGGCGTCTTGTCCGCGACCCAGATTGGCCCCCACAGTTCCCAAGAAGTCGTCGAGAGGCCTCCTCCTCCGCCTGCATTCATTCTCCTTATAAACAACTTTTCCCTGTCGCACCCTGAGGCCAGTTGCGTTTCGCCTGAGACTTCCTCACCACTAATGACCCTGAAGCTTAAACATTGCAACAGTTTCACAGATGGAGGGCGGGTCGTTTTCAAACTGTGGCTCTCGCCTTAGCCCCGCGCACATTCGTTTTTAAACGTTGCAAGAGCTTCACGGATTGAGGGCAGATGGTTTTCAAAATGTGGTCCTCGCTTTAGCGCGGCGCACATTCGTTTTAAACATTTGCAAGAGTTTCGCGGATTGAGGGCGGGTCGTTTACAAAATGTGGGTCTCGCCTTAGCGCCGCGCGCATTCGTTTAACAAAATTGAAAGGGGTTTCACGGATTGAGGGCGGGTTGTTTTCAAAATGTGGTTCTCGCTTTTGCGCCGCGCACATTCGTTTTCAACATTTGCAAGAGCTTCACGGATTGAGGGCGGGTCGAAGAAGAATATGGGTCTCGCCTTAGTGCCGCGCACATTCTTGATAAACAGAAAAAGTGTTTTGGAAGGATTCCCGATTTTGAGGGCGCAACAGTTACGATGTTTCGCGGAGGTGAGGTCCCAGGAATGGCGCTCTGGCACGATTCAGGATCGTCAAGACGCAACAGGCAGGTTCATCCGTGGCGTTGGAATACCGAGGATAATGTTTTGGCATGCTTCAGGGTCTTCAGACGGTTGTTTTCCAAGGAGGCAGGTCCCCCATTGGAAATGAGCCGTTGTAGGGTCCTCTGAAGAGGGAACTTTGGGGGAGGGTTTATTCCAACATCGTTGGTGACTCTTGGGTTTACACTGGTCCTCCTCCTCCTCCTCCTCCTCCTCCTCCTCCTCCTCCCCTATCTAGTCCCCTATCCTTTTTCTCGCCCGCCATGGGCACACCAACATATAGCAACGGCGGTGCAATATGGGCCGGCGGGTTCTCGGCAGGTTCGGGTCACAGATGCCGCTCGGGCGCAGCCTTGGGGGCCCCAGAGCGTCCCAGGATCGCCCACAGGAGGCGCGAAAAAGGTGGCAGGCCCCATGACCTCAGGCCAAGAGCGTTCCAACATCGTTGGTGACTCTTGGGTTTACACTGGTCCTCCTCCTCCTCCTCCTCCTCCTCCTCCTCCTCCTCCTCCTCCCCTATCTAGTCCCCTATCCTCTTGCCCGCCATGGGCACACCAACATATAGCAACAACGGTGCAATATGGGCCGGCGGGATGAGCGAAGCAATTGAGTTGACGGATTTTTTGCGGGCCCTCGCCGTGGTAGCCTTCGAGGATACATGATGAGAGAGAGGATGATGGAGGAGAGGGAGAAGCATGCGTAAAGGCATGCGCCGAGGGGCTTCGCGCATGCCGCCGCCCACAGAGGCCTGAAGAGGGCCCGAAGAGTCTCCGGAGAGGCCAGCCGCAGGGCAGCCGCACCTCCATTCCTCATTTTGACACGTGAAAAACCGTGTGATCTCCTGGGGCACGTAGAAACAAGTGAGACGTGCTCAGATGGCCTCGAGTGGCCGCTTCGCTGGGGACATCCTCGATGACAACAAACCTCGGGGGGGCTCCGAATATCAGTAATGACGGTTTCGCTCGAGGCGCCCTCGACAATCTGCCTGGGAGGGCGCTTGAACATGACCCCCCCACGGGACGACAACATGGCCCCAACGATTGGTACTCTGGGTTTCTTAATCAGCGTAGGGGAGGTCCCCCTCCGACGGGGGGTCAACCTCGCCTCGTCGTCGCGCCGCGACGGGGGTCGCAGCGCCTTCGGCGCGTGGTGGCTGCCCGCGACAGGGGTCGACGTGGAGCTGTCGGCGGGGGTGACGCTCCCCCCCCGACGCTTATTGAGAAACTCGGAGTGCGTACCGACCCTCGTCGAGGCAGTACCCCGAACACCCAGTGAATGCAACATCTGTGTGCGAACTTCCCCCTGGGAGCTCGCCGTGTCTCCCGCCCTACGGGCTCCATTCGACGGGCCGCCTGCGGGCTCTCGCCGTGCGAGGCTTCGAGGCAAGACAATGAGGTGATGGTGAAAGGGTGATCGTTTTTGTATTCCTTGTTTTGCCGATCGGCGCGGGCTCCCCCCCCCCCATGGAGTGGATCATTCCAAACTAGTAAAAACAAACATCGTACGGGGGCGATTTTTTGATTTTGTCTTTTTTGGGGGGGGACAGTTTTTGCATATGTTTTAGATTTTTTTGTTTTTTTTTGTTTTTGTTTTTACAATGTTTCATACAAAATCCCCCTGTAGGGGGACATGCTCGACTTAATCCTTGTTTTGCCGATCGGCGCGGGCCCTCAACCTCCCCCTCTCCCCCCCCCTTGGAGTGGATCTTGGCTGTTTTGGGTTGCCTGTTTCGAGCAGGTGGAGCCCCCCCCATGATGAACGCACTGCTGCAAACAGTTGCACTGAGCAGAGGTCCGGAGCCAGACCCTTCCCCCTCCCCCCCCTTCCGCCCAATGTCGAAACGCCGAATAAGGGAACGCTCACATGGAGGAGGGAGAGAAGCACGTGTGAGACATGCAAAGCGCGGCTTCGCGGAATCCGCTGGCCGATTCCGCATTACCCTCTTGTTGGAAGCATGTAAAAGCACGAGTGAAACGCGCTTCCAGCCCAACGCGAGGCCTACGCGCCTGACAGCTCCTGGGATACATGAAACCATGTGTGAGATGCACCCGCAGGGCTGCGAAAGCCTCGTTTCGGTGGACCACTCACGCATTTCCTGCGCCCCCAGGCTTCTGAGACACGTAAAACACGAGGCGCTTCAGTTCGGCACATCTCTCACGCACTCCGTGCATCATGGGAGCTCGGCTGGCCCCAGAGACTGCTCCGCGAGGTTTCAATTTGGCACACCTCTCACGCATTTCGTGCTCCAGGGACCTCCAGGGGCGATCCGCTAGCCTTCACGACGGCTAAGTTGAGCTTGAATTCGGCACGCTCCTCAGGCACTTCGTGCCTCTCGGACTCCCAGGAAATATTAACTAATCTTTAGTCGGGCATAAAAAGTAGTCTGGGGACGACTTCTTGACCATTTTTGAGGATGGCTTGAATCTGTCTCAGGTATTCAAAAAAATGTCGTCCAAAATCCGCCTGTAGGGGGACGCCCTACCTAAAGCTAACCTCTCGGACGATTCAGGGGAGCTTTGATGAGGCGCACCTCTCACGCACTTCGTGGCTCATGGACCTGCGAAGACCCCCCGTTGGCCCCGAAGACCACCTGCCTCCCAAAGGACACCAAGATGGCCCTGAGAAACATTGCAACGAGCGGTACCGACCTTCGTCGAAGCCCTACACCGAACACTGACTGCTTGCAACATCCGCGTGCTTGTGTCTCCAGCATGCATAAGGCATGCTAAGAGGGACTTCGCGGATTCACCTGGCCGATGTTAGCAATTCTCCGGGGGGCACGTAAAATTACGAGCGAAACGTGCTCCCAGCGCCAGGCCCATGCGCGTCACAGTTCCTGGGACGCATACAAACATGAGTGGGGTGCGTCCGTAGGGCTGCCAAAGCCTCGTCCCGTCGTGCCCCTCACGCATCTCTTGCTTGACATTGTCTTGCTACTCGTAAGAATACGAGTGATCATGTCCCTCCTGGCTGCGACACTGTAATTTCGGTTCGCCCGTGCATTTCCTGCTCCACGCTCTACTGGCACATATGAAAGCACGAATAGTCTGCGCTCCGAGGTCCACGCGGGGCTTAATTTCAAATACTCCTGACGCCTCTTCGGTTCAGACTGTTTCTGGTTCGCGCGCACGTGGCGGCCCCTGGGGGTCCCCGGACGAAAAGTACCCGACGGGTTCCCGGCAGGTTCGAGTCCCAGATGCCGCTCGGGCGCGGCCCTGGGGTCCCCAGAGCGTCCCAGGATCGCCCACAGGAGGCGCAAAAAAGGTGACAGGCCCCACGACCTCAGGCCAAGAGCGTTCCAAAATGGCCCAAGGTGATCTCAAGATGGCCCAAGAGGCGCCCAAGACGCCCAAGGAGGGCTTCCGTATCCATTTTGGCTCAAGGTTTTTTAGTACAAGTACTTTTGGTCTCTGATCGTCATAGCTCCGTATAGCTATCGATACCGAATAGTTTCGTATAACTTCAATTTCAATCCTGCACGGTCCAAGCTATGTTTCGAGTCCTGGCGCAGCTGTGTGCAGTGGGGCTTGTAACTACTTGCGCTGAGCACGTGGACCTGCAGCTCATGCAGATGCACACGGCCAGTCTCTTGCGTGGCAGTGAGATCTGGCCGGGATGCCGTACCTCAACCCAGGGCGACGAGTGTTACGAGAAGGTGATGTGGGCGATGCGGACGGGCATCAACCAACACCCAAAGTGGTATCTCCCTCTGACGAGTAATTCCAGCTTCGAGGACTTCCAGCAGCACCTGCACGCCGTGGATCGGCTCTCTGACGTGTGCCCCAAGCCATGTGCAGCGGCGCAGTCAGAGGAGCGACCGACCGAGCAGTTGCCCGCAGTGCCACAGGAGTGTCGCACCAGCGTTGAGGGCGACGAGTGTTACGAGAAGGTGATGTGGGCGATGCGGACGGGCATCAAACAACACCCAAAGTGGTATATCCCTCTGACGAGTAATTCCAGCTTCGAGGACTTCCAGCAGCACCTGCACACCGTGGATCGGCTCTCTGACGTGTGCCCCAAGCCATGCGCAGCGGTGCAGTCAGAGGAGCGACCGACAGAGCAGTTGCCCGCAGTGCCACATGCATGCCGCACCAGTGTTGAGGGCGACGAGTGTTACGAGAAGGTGATGTGGGCGATGCGGACGGGCATCAAACAACACCCAAAGTGGTATATCCTCTGACGAGTAATTCCAGCTTCGAGGACTTCCAGCAGCACCTGCACGGTGTGGACAAGTTCTCCGATGTTTGCCCCAAGCCTTGCTCTTGGCGGTCAGAAGACCAGCTCCGGATAAGTAATGGATCCCCGATGCCTACAGCTCAATATACCGGAACTCCGATGCCTACAGCGCAGCATGTCGGAACTCCAATGCCAACAGAAATCCATGAGGATGACCTACTCGTATCGGCCTACCCTGGATACGAGCAAACTGGTCGTAACTGCCAGTGTGGAACACCAATCAAACAGTTCTCAGAAGAATACGATTCTCTCGAGTTGTGTGCCGCGGAGTGCAATTTGTACCCCAACTGTGCCGCCATTGCTCTTCATCCTTGGCAGTCTATCTGGAGAGGCCAATGTGATCTCTACAATGCAACGTGTGTGGAAACGAACGGGCATGACTCCAACACCACCTGTGCCAACCCAACCCCGCTTGGAGCCCTCAGTGTCAATTTTAACCGGGTACCGACGCCCGCGCCCACGCCTGCACCCACGCCTGCACCAGACCCTTGCGATGTTACGGATGGATCGTTTCCGAGTGCTTTCTACCCGTGTCAGTGCGGGCCTGATGTGGTGTGTGTCACAAGCGAGGTTTGCTCAAAGGACAGGCGAGGCTATTCGTGCTCTCCTCCAGGCATTCTCAAGGTAGAATGGCCGTGTTTGACGACTTCGATCGGCAGCTCCTACTTCGTGCTTGCTGGGAGTAGCGCAACAGGAGCGCCAGTGTACAGCAACACCGATGGCAATTACATATATTGGGATGTGTCGTGCGATGGCATCGAGCGACCTTTGCAAGATCAGCAGCCGCGATGGATTCTCGACTCAGACTCACCAAACATGACATCGACCATGGATTTAGATTCTGATTCGGAGTGCTTTTATTTTGGGCATCACGGTAGTTCTGATTTCAATGGTGTCCCTTTGGGGAGCACAGTTTGGACGGTGGCATGCGACGGTGAAGTTTCCGACATGACGGTGAACATCACTTATGAAGCATATCTTCCCACCCCATCGCCGACGATGGAACCTGGGGCACCGTGCACTTGTGACCAGGGATGTGGCATGTTTCCTTACCTTGACTTAGATGGTGATGGTTGCCTAGTGGAGGCAGAAGTGAACAAAGATGAGAGTCTCAGCGGGCACTTTACCGAGATCGACACGGACGGGGACGGCTGCGTTACCCAGACAGAGTGTGGGGACTCGCCGTATTCGAGTGATTTGTCTAGGTTCCCAATCCAGGGCCCACAAGAATGCGACTACGGATACTATTTCATGGAGGGCACCAGCGTCTGCCAGCAATGCGCCAACGGTGCCACGCGGCGGCGCCGCTCGGAGGCCTGCAGCGACTGCCCCGCGGACAAAGAGGACGTGGGCGACTTCGATAACTGCATCTCGGGGGTGTGGCTCACTGAACCACTCGCGGTTGGGTCCCGCGTTGCCTTCGTCAACAAGGACATAGACGAGAGCGGCGTATTGCTGCAGAAGGGCGATGGGATCACCATTTCGACGCGAAACCCTGGCCACTTCGAGAGAATGATTATCATCGACAAGGTTGGTTTCAATGATACCCAGAGGTTGTCGTCACACCATGAATCCCTGCTCCGTACGAGTGGGCCTTTTTTCGTGCTGGACCACGGGGCGAACGCGCCCTTCAACACGTTCGACCCGATCGTCTCTGCTTGTACAGATGTAAGTGGAATCTCGCTTAGCGGACAGTACCCATGCGGATGCGGCATCGAAATCTGCGATTTCGGGTACAGGTGTGACGAGCAGTGCAGTGGGAACAATACGGTCCTCGATTCTTACGCGGGCATCAGCTACGGGAACGGCGGATGCTGTATCGGCCCCCCTGTCTCTACTTCTGCCCACCCCAGCCCCGACAGTGTCGGCCAAGGGTGACCCGCACTTGGTCAACCTTCAAGGCGAGCATTTCGACGTTAACCACGGTGGCGAGTTCACATTGCTCCGGATCCCGCAGGCCGCCGACAGGACCGCCGAGGTGCAGCTTCAGGCAACGATCCGCCCCGAGCACGGGAAGCCATGCACCACGTACATCACCGCGGTTGAGCTATCGGGCGCGTGGATCGGTGAGGCGGTCGTGCAGGTGCGCTCCTACCTCAGGTCACACAACAAGAATGGAAGCGACGAGTTCTTAGGGCTCCGGGTGCTGGAACCAGGCGCGCCAGAAGATGTTCCGTGGACGAGGCTCGCGGATTGGACCGATGAAAACATCCTTCTCTCCGAGAAGCAGGCAAAGGAAGGCGTCAGGGTGACAATGTCCAAGTCACAGTGGCGCACCAAAAAGAACATGAAGGAAGGATTGCCGACCGTAGCCGGGCAGATTCAGATCATGATGCAAAGCAAATTGAGCGAGGATTCCGCAATGATCGTCGTCCGCCAAGACCTCCCCATGCAGGAGCACCTGAATTTGGCTGTACGGCGTTTGAGCGCACTCGGTCGTGCAGACATTGGGGACTTCTTGGGTTCGATGCGCATGCCGAGTCGCTAGAGGATGTCACGCCAGAGTGCCAGCGTCACAGGGATGGATTGGACACGAACAAAGGTCCGCACTCAACACCACGCTGGAAGATTCGTTGGCAGAAGATCAAGGAGCAGCGCGCGAGAAATCCCGCACCGGGTGGGTCAATGAACGACAACGAAGCGGCTGCCAACCTCCTTGGTAAGATGCGAATGCAAGAGAAGGACATGATGTGCGTCTGCCCCAACGAAGGTCCCATGCATCCCACAGGGGACGACTACGCCGCGAATCTGATCGGTGGCAGACGCCTGGGCGTCCTTGCCAAGTTCCAAACTGGCAGGCTTGCGGAGGCAACGTGGGACTGATGAACGCGCGTCGAATTGGCCGGCGCGATCGCCGGCAGCCTTGGGCGGATTTGCCGCGCCTGCAGGGCGGACGAGCTCCCGTGTCCCGTGTCTACATCAAGAAGCTTGCCAGGTTGCCGTTTGGGCGGCCCCGCAGGTCTCGCTATGTCGGTACAGGTCGCGAGAGGCGGCGGGGGATGGGTCAGAGGCTTCAGCGGGGGCAGGCGGAGATGGAGAAGAGAGAGCCGTCTTCTCGTAGTTCATTCACGTCAGCTTAAGGACTTTAGCGGAGGAGCTCACGCGCCAAATTCAGGTTTGCGGGGTCTCTGGCCGAGTGCGCTGCAAGCGGCGGTGTTTCACTTCAGCTCGTTAGGGGCGGCAGAGCTTGGTCAGAGGTTACGGTGGGAGTCGTGAAGGCGAGGGTGGAGGAGGAAGAGCCATGTAATTCAGGCGCGCATTTTTGTGCTTTTTGATCAGTTGAATCTTCTCCAGTTTGCTTGTGCGTGCTCGATCCCCTTGTCTTCGCAATGTGTTTAATAACACGTCTCAGAGCTTTTGTGTGCCATGTGCTCACGCGCGCAGCCAGCGGGAGCAGCACGTCGATTGGACGTACCGTATGCCGAGTCCCGGAATCCCATGGCATCGGGAAAAACAGATCCGCCCCAGGAGGGCTCCAAGACTACCCCAGGATGGCTCCAAGACGACCCCAAGAGGGCCTCGGGAGGGCACATCATGGAACTTGCTAGGGTTTTTGTTAGATTTTGGCGTTACCGCCTTTTCAAGTCTCCGACCGCCCAGGACGACCCAAGAGGCCTCCGAAATCGTCCCAAGTCAGCCCAAGAGGCTCCCAGGACGGCCCCAAGACGGCCCAAGAGGCCTCCACCGAGGGCTCCCAAGAGGCTCCCAAGAGGGACCCCAAGAGGGGCAATCCGAGCGGACATGTCGAGTCTTCCCTGAAAGTTGGCCCCCTAGGCCGTCAGCAGGCCCCGAAGAAGCCCTCGAGAGGTCACCAGGAGCCCAAAAGGATGCCCCACGGGCCCCCCACAAAGGGCCCCAGAAGGTTTCAACAGTGCTGCCAGGAGGCCCCCCGAGAGACATCCTGAGGGACCCCAGGAGGTCTTCCAAAAAGGCGTCTTGCCCGCGACCCAGATTGGCCCCCACAGTTCCCCAAGAAGTCGTCGAGAGGCCTCCTCCTCCGCCTGCATTCATTCTCCTTATACACAACTTTTCCCTGTCGCACCCTGAGGCCAGTTGCGTTTCGCCTGAGACTTCCTCACCACTAATGACCCTGAAGCTTAAACATTGGCAACAGTTTCACAGATGGAGGGCGGGTCGTTTTCAAAATGTGGCTCTCGCCTTAGCCCCGCGCACATTCGTTTTTAAACGTTGCAAGAGTTTCACGGATTGAGGGCGGATGGTTTTCAAAATGTGGTCCTCGCTTTAGCGCGGCGCACATTCGTTTTAAACATTTGCAAGGGTTTCGCGGATTGAGGGCGGGTCGTTTACAAAATGTGGGTCTCGCCTTAGCGCCGCGCGCATTCGTTTAACAAAATTGAAAAGGGTTTCATGGATTGAGGGCGGGTCGTTTTCAAACTGTGGTTCTCGCTTTAGCGCCGCGCACATTCGTTTTCAACATTTGCAAGAGCTTCACGGATTGAGGGCGGGTCGAAGAAGAATATGGGTCTCGCCTTAGTGCCGCGCACATTCTTGATAAACAGAAAAAGTGTGTTGGAAGGATTCCCGATTTTGAGGGCGCAACAGTTACGATGTTTCGCGGAGGTGAGGTCCCAGGAATGGCGCTCTGGCACGATTCAGGATCGTCAAGACGCAACAGGCAGGTTCATCCGTGGCGTTGGAATACCGAGAATAATGTTTTGGCATGCTTCAGGGTCTTCAGACGGTTGTTTTCCAAGGAGGCAGGTCCCCCATTGGAAATGAGCCGTTGTCGGGTCCTCTGAAGAGGGAACTTTGGGGGATGGTTTATTCCAACATCGTTGCTGACTCTTGGGTTTACACTGGTCCTCTTCCTCCTCCTCCTCCTCCTCCTCCTCCTCCTCCCCTATCTAGTCCCCTATCCTGTTTCTCGCCCGCCATGGGCACACCAACATATAGCAACGGCGGTGCAATATGGGCCGGCGGGTTCTCGGCAGGTTCGGGTCACAGATGCCGCTCGGGCGCGGCCTTGGGGGCCCCAGAGCGTCCCAGGATCGCCCACAGGAGGCGCGAAAATGGTGGCAGGCCCCATGACCTCAGGCCAAGAGCGTTCCAACATCGTTGGTGACTCTTGGGTTTACACTGGTCCTCCTCCTCCTCCTCCTCCTCCTCCTCCTCCCCTATCTAGTCCCCTATCCTCTTGCCCGCCATGGGCACACCAACATATAGCAACAACGGTGCAATATGGTGCCGGCGGGATGAGCGAGCGATTGAGTTGACGGATTTTTTGCGTGCCTTCTCCGTGTGTAGCCTTTCGAGAATTGATACATGATAGATGAGAGGATGAATGGAGGGAGAGGGAGAAGCATGCGTAAGGGCCAAATGCGGCCGGGAGGGGGGGGGGCCCCCCCCCCCCCCGCCTTTTTTTCCGCGCATGCCGCCGCCCCAAAGAGGTCCTGCATGCATGGCGCCGAAGATTCTCGGAGGCCAGCTGCAGGGCAGCCGCACCTCCATTCCTCATTTTGACACGTGAAAAAAACCGTGTGACTCCGTCCTGGGGCACGTAGAAACAAGTGAGACGTGCTCAGATGGCCTCGAGTGGCCGCTTCGCTGGGGGCATCCTCGATGACAACAAACCTCGGGGGGGCTCCGAATATCAGTAATGTCGGTTTCGCTCGAGGCGCCCTCGACAATCTGCCTGGGAGGGCGCTTGAACATGACCCCCCCACGGGACGACAACATGGCCCCAACGATTGGTACTCTCGGTTTCTTAATCAGCGTAGGGGAGGTCCCCCTCCGACGGGGGGTCAACCTCGCCTCGTCGTCGCGCCGCGACGGGGGTCGCAACGCCTTCGGCGCGTGGTGGCTGCCCGCGACAGGGGTCGACGTGGAGCTGTCGGCGGGGGTGACGCCCCCCCCCCGACGCTTATTGAGAAACTCGGAGTGCGTACCGACCCTCGTCGAGGCAGTACCCCGAACACCCAGTGAATGCAACATCTGTGTGCGAACTTCCCCCTGGGAGCTCGCCGTGTCTCCCGCCCTACGGGCTCCATTCGGCGGGCCGCCTGCGGGCTCTCGCCGTGCGAGGCTTCGAGGCAAGACAATGAGGTGATGGTGAAAGGGTGATCGTTTTTGTATTCCTTGTTTTGCCGATCGGCGCGGGCTCCCCCCCCCCATGGAGTGGATCATTCCAAACTAGTAAAAACAAACATCGTACCGGGACGATTTTTTGATTTTGTTTTTTTATGGGGGGGACAGTTTTTGCATATTTTTTGTTTTTTCATACAAAATCCCCCTGTAGGGGGACATGCTCGACTTAATCCTTGTTTTGCCGATCGGCGCGGGCCCTCAACCTCCCCCTCTCCCCCCCCCTTGGAGTGGATCTTGGCTGTTTTGGGTTGCCTGTTTCGAGCAGGTGGAGCCCCCCCCCATGATGAACGCACTGCTGCAAACAGTTGCACTGAGCAGAGGTCCGGAGCCAGACCCTTCCCCCTCCCCCCCCTTCCGCCCAATGTCGAAACGCCGAATAAGGAAACGCTCACATGGAGGAGGGAGAGAAGCACGTGTGAGACTGGCAAAGCGCGGCTTCGCGGAATCCGCTGGCCGATTCCGCATTACCGTCTTGTTGGAAGCATGTAAAAGCACGAGTGAAACGCGCTTCCAGCCCAACGGGAGGCCTACGCGCCTGACAGCTCCTGGGATACATGAAACCATGTGTGAGACGCACCCGCAGGGCTGCGAAAGCCTCGTTTCGGTGGACCACTCACGCATTTCCTGCGCCCCCAGGCTTCTGAGACACGTAAAACACGAGGCGCTTCAGCTCGGCACATCTCTCATGCACTCCGTGCATCATGGGAGCTCGGCTGGCCCCAGAGACTGCTCCGCGAGGTTTCAATTTGGCACACCTCTCACACATTTCGTGCTCCAGGGACCTCCAGGGGCGATCCGCTAGCCTTCACGACGGCTAAGTTGAGCTTGAATTCGCACTTTCCTCAGTCACTTCGTGCCTGCTCGACTCAACCAGGACATCTGTAACTAATCGTTTAGGGGTCTGGGCATAGAAAGTGTTCTGGGGGCGCCTTCTTCTTGACCATTTTTGAAGGATGTTTTGAATCTGTTTTCAGTATGAAAAAAATGTTCGTCCAACATCCGCCTGTAGGGGACCGCCCTACCTAAATCTAACCTCTCGGACGATTCAGTCAGGGGAGCTTTGATTAGGCGCACCTCTCCACGCACTTCGTGGCTCATGGACCTCCAAGACCCCCCGTTGGCCCCGAAGACCACCTGCCTCCCAAAGGACACCAAGATGGCCCTGAGAAACATAGCAACGAGCGGTACCGACCTTCGTCGAAGCCCTACACCGAACACCGACTGCTTGCAACATCCGCGTGCCTGTGTCTCCAGCATGCATAAGGCATGCTAAGAGGGACTTCGCGGATTCACCTGGCCGATGTCAGCAATTCTCCGGGGGGCACGTTAAACTACGAGTGAAACGTGCTCCCAGCGCCAGGCCCATGCGCGTCACAGCTCCTGGGACACATACAAACATGAGTGGGCTGCGTCCTTAGGGCTGCCAAAGCCTCGTCCCGTCGTGCCCCTCACGCTTCTCTTGCCTGACATTGTCTTGCTACTCGTAAGAATACGAGTGATCATGTCCCTCCTGGCTGCGACACTGTAATTTCGGTTCGCCCCTGCATTTCCTGCTCCACACTCTACTGGCACATATGAAAGTACGAATGATCTGCGCTCCGAGGTCCACGCGGGGCTTAATTCCAAATACTCCTGACGCCTCTTCGGTTCAGACTGTTTCTGGTTCGCGCGCACGTGGCGGCCCCTGGGGGTCCCCGGACGAAAAGTACCCGACGGGTTCCCGGCAGGTTCGAGTCCCAGATGCCGCTCGGGCGCGGCCTTGGGGTCCCCAGAGCGTCCCAGGATCGGCCACAGGAGGCGCGAAAAAGGTGACAGGCCCCACGACCTCAGGCCAAGAGCGTTCCAAAATGGCCCAAGGTGATCTCAAGATGGCCCAAGAGGCGCCCAAGACGCCCAATGAGGGCTTCCGTATCCATTTTGGCTCAAGGCTTTTTAGTACAAGTACTTTTGGTCTCTGATCGTCATAGCTCCGTATAGCTATCGATACCGAATAGTTTCGTATAACTTCAATTTCAATCCTGCACGGTCCAAGCTATGTTTCAAGTCCTGGCGCAGCTGTGTGCAGTGGGGTTTGTAACTACTTGCGCTGAGCACGTGGACCTGCAGCTCATGCAGATGCACACGGCCAGTCTCTTGCGTGGCAGTGAGATCTGGCCGGGATGCAGTACTTCAACCCAGGGCGACGAGTGTTACGAGAAGGTGATGTGGGCGATGCGGACGGGCATCAAACAACACCCAAAGTGGTATATCCCTCTGACGAGTAATTCCAGCTTTGAGGACTTCCAGCAGCACCTGCACACCGTGGATCGGCTCTCTGACGTGTGCCCCAAGCCATGCGCAGCGGCGCAGTCAGAGGAGCGACCGACAGAGCAGTTGCCCGCAGTGCCACATGCATGCCGCACCAGTGTTGAGGGCGACGAGTGTTACGAGAAGGTGATGTGGGCGATGCGGACGGGCATCAAACAACACCCAAAGTGGTATATTCCTCTGACGAGTAATTCCAGCTTCGAGGACTTCCAGCAGACCTGCACGTTGTGGACAGTTTTCTCCGATGTTTGCCCCAAGCCTTGCTCTTGGCGGTCAGAAGACCAGCTCCGGATAAGTAATGGATCCCCGATGCCTACAGCTCAATATACCGGAACTCCGATGCCTACAGCGCAGCATGTCGGAACTCCAATGCCAACAGAAATCCATGAGGATGACCTACTCGTATCGGCCTACCCTGGATACGAGCAAACTGGTCGTAACTGCCAGTGTGGAACACCAATCAAACAGTTCTCAGAAGAATACGATTCTCTCGAGTTGTGTGCCGCGGAGTGCAATTTGTACCCCAACTGTGCCGCCATTGCTCTTCATCCTTGGCAGTCTATCTGGAGAGGCCAATGCGATCTCTACAATGCAACGTGTGTGGAAACGAACGGGCATGACTCCAACACCACCTGTGCCAACCCAACCCCGCTTGGAGCCCTCAGTGTCAATTTTAACCGGGTACCGACGCCCGCTCCCACGCCTGCACCCACGCCTGCACCAGACCCTTGCGATGTTACGGATGGATCGTTTCCGAGTGCTTTCTACCCGTGTCAGTGCGGGCCTGATGTGGTGTGTGTCACAAGCGAGGTTTGCTCAAAGGACAGGCGAGGCTATTCGTGCTCTCCTCCGGGCATTCTCAAGGTAGAATGGCCGTGTTTGACGACTTCGATCGGCAGCCCCTACTTCGTGCTTGCTGGGAGTAGCGCAACAGGAGCGCCAGTTTACAGCAACACCGATGGCAATTACATATATTGGGATGTGTCGTGCGATGGCATCGAGCGACCTTTGCAAGATCAGCAGCCGCGATGGATTCTCGACTCAGACTCACCAAACATGACATCGACCATTGATTTAGATTCTGATTCGGAGTGCTTTTATTTTGGGCACCACGGTAGTTCTGATTTCAATGGTGTCCCTTTGGGGAGCACAGTTTGGACGGTGGCATGCGACGGTGAAGTTTCCGACATGACGGTGAACATCACTTATGAAGCATATCTTCCCACCCCATCGCCCACGATGGAACCTGGGGCACCGTGCACTTGTGACCAGGGATGTGGCATGTTTCCTTACCTTGACTTAGATGGTGATGGTTGCCTAGTGGAGGCAGAAGTGAACAAAGATGAGAGTCTCACCGGGCACTTTACCGAGATCGACACGGACGGGGACGGCTGCGTTACCCAGACAGAGTGTGGGGACTCGCCGTATTCGAGTGATTTGTCTAGGTTCCCAATCCAGGGCCCACAAGAATGCGACTACGGATACTATTTCATAGAGGGCACCAGCGTCTGCCAGCAATGCGCCTCCTTGCCCAGGACCCGAATGTGGCCGTTCCCCTCGTTAGTCCTGCAGCGACACCTCGTACAAACCCAAGACAATGGTACCAATGCGCATAACTGCTCTCGGGGGGGTGGCTCCATGGCGCCCTCTGGGTTGGTGTCCCGCGTTGCTTCGTCACAAGGAATAGACGAGAGCGGCGTATTGCTGCAGATGGCGATGGGATCACCATTTTCGACACGAACCCTGGCCACGTTGGTTCGAGAGATGATTATCATCGAGCGAAGGTTGGTTTCAATGATACCCAGAAGGTTGGTCGTCACATGCCATGAGTCCCGTGCTCCGTACGGTGTGGCCCTTTTTTCGGGCTGGACCCACGGGCTGAACACGCGGGGCCAAGCCGTTCGAGGCCCGATCGGGTGCTCTGCTTGTACAGATGTGAAGGTGGATCTCGCTTAGCGACAGTACCCATGCGGATGCGGCATCGAAATCTGCGATTTCGGGTACAGGTGTGACGAGCAGTGCAGTGGGAACAATACGGTCCTCGATTCTTACGCGGGTATCAGCTACGGGAACGGCGGATGCTGTATCGGCCCCCCTGTCTCTATTCTGCCCACCCCAGCCCCGACAGTGTCGGCCAAGGGTGACCCGCACTTGGTCAACCTTCAAGGCGAGCATTTCGACGTTAACCACGGTGGCGAGTTCACATTGCTCCGGATCCCGCAGGCCGCCGACAGGACCGCCGAGGTGCAGCTTCAGGCAACGATCCGCCCCGAGCACGGGAAGCCATGCACCACGTACATCACCGCGGTTGAGCTATCGGGCGCGTGGATCGGTGAGGCGGTCGTGCAGGTGCGCTCCTACCTCAGGTCACACAACAAAATGGAAGCGACGAGTTCTTAGGGCTCCGGGTGCTGGAACCAGGCGCACCAGAAGATGTTCCGTGGACGAGGCTCGCGGATTGGACCGATGAAAACATCCTTCTCTCCGAGAAGCAGGCAAAGGAAGGCGTCAGGGTGACAATGTCCAAGTCACAGTGGCGCACCAAAAAGAACATGAAGGAAGGATTGCCGACCGTAGCTGGGCAGATTCAGATCATGATGCAAAGCAAATTGAGCGAGGATTCCGCAATGATCGTCGTCCGCCAAGACCTCCCCATGCAGGAGCACCTGAATTTGGCTGTACGGCGTTTGAGCGCACTCGGTCGTGCAGACATTGGTGGACTTCTTGGGTTCGATGCGCATGCCGAGTCGCTAGAGGATGTCACGCCAGAGTGCCAGCGTCACAGGGATGGATTGGACACGAACAAAGGTCCGCACTCAACACCACGCTGGAAGATTCGTTGGCAGAAGATCAAGGAGCAGCGCGCGAGAAATCCCCGCACCCGGGTGGGAAAATGAAGACAACGAAGGCGGCTGCCACCTCCTTGTAAGGATCGCGAATGCAAGAGAAGGACATGAGTGTGCGTCCTTCCCCAACGAAGTCCCATGCATCCCCAGGGGACGACTACTGCCGCGAATCTGTTGGTGGCAGACGCCTGGGCGTCCTTGCCAAGTTCCCACAACTGGGCTATCCTTTGCGGAGGCAACGTGGGACTGATGAACGCGCGTCGAATTGGGCTGTATCGGCACGGGGGGGGGGGGGGGGGGGGGGACCGGCAGTGCCTTGGCGGAATTTGCCACGCGTCTGCAGGGCGGACGAGCTCCCGGGTGTCCCCGTGTCTAACAATCAGAGAAGCTTGCCAGGTTCCGTTTGGGCGGCCCCGCGGCACTCGCTACGTCGGTACTAGTTCGCGAGATGGTGCGTGCGGGATGGGTCAGAGGCTTCAGCGGGGGCAGGCGGAGATGGAGGAGAGAGAGCCGTCTTCTCGTAGTTCATTCACGTCAGCTAAGGACTTTAGCGGAGGAGCTCACGCGCCAAATTCAGGTTGGCGGGGTCTCTGGCCGAGTGCGCTGCAAGCGGCGGTGTTTCACTTCAGCTCGTTAGGGGCGGCAGAGATTGGTCAGAGGTTACGGTGGGAGTCGTGAAGGCGAGGGTGGAGGAGGAAGAGCCATGTAATTCAGGCGCGCATTTTTGTGCTTTTTGATCCGTTGAGTCTTCTCCAGTTTGCTTGTGCGTGCTCGATCCCCTTGTCTTCGCAATGTGTTTAATAACACGTCTCAGAGCTTTTGTGTGCCATGTGCTCACGCGCGCAGCCAGCGGGAGCAGCACGTCGATTGGACGTACCGTATGCCGAGTCCCGGAATCCCATGGCATCGGGAAAAACAGATCCGCCCCAGGAGGGCTCCAAGACTACCCCAGGATGGCTCCAAGACGACCCCAAGAGGGCCTCGGGAGGGCACATCATGGAACTTGCTAGGGTTTTTGTTAGATTTTGGCGTTACCGCCTTTTCAAGTCTCCGACCGCCCAGGACGACCCAAGAGGCCTCCGAAATCGTCCCAAGTCAGCCCAAGAGGCTCCCAGGACGGCCCCAAGACGGCCCAAGAGGCCTCCACCGAGGGCTCCCAAGAGGCTCCCAAGAGGGACCCCAAGAGGGGCAATCCGAGCGGACATGTCGAGTCTTCCCTGAAAGTTGGCCCCCTAGGCCGTCAGCAGGCCCCGAAGAAGCCCTCGAGAGGTCACCAGGAGCCCAAAAGGATGCCCCACGGGCCCCCCACAAAGGGCCCCAGAAGGTTTCAACAGTGCTGCCAGGAGGCCCCCCGAGAGACATCCTGAGGGACCCCAGGAGGTCTTCCAAAAAGGCGTCTTGCCCGCGACCCAGATTGGCCCCCACAGTTCCCCAAGAAGTCGTCGAGAGGCCTCCTCCTCCGCCTGCATTCATTCTCCTTATACACAACTTTTCCCTGTCGCACCCTGAGGCCAGTTGCGTTTCGCCTGAGACTTCCTCACCACTAATGACCCTGAAGCTTAAACATTGGCAACAGTTTCACAGATGGAGGGCGGGTCGTTTTCAAAATGTGGCTCTCGCCTTAGCCCCGCGCACATTCGTTTTTAAACATTGCAAGAGTTTCACGGATTGAGGGCGGATGGTTTTCAAAATGTGGTCCTCGCTTTAGCGCGGCGCACATTCGTTTTAAACATTTGCAAGGGTTTCGCGGATTGAGGGCGGGTCGTTTACAAAATGTGGGTCTCGCCTTAGCGCCGCGCGCATTCGTTTAACAAAATTGAAAAGGGTTTCATGGATTGAGGGCGGGTCGTTTTCAAACTGTGGTTCTCGCTTTAGCGCCGCGCACATTCGTTTTCAACATTTGCAAGAGCTTCACGGATTGAGGGCGGGTCGAAGAAGAATATGGGTCTCGCCTTAGTGCCGCGCACATTCTTGATAAACAGAAAAAGTGTGTTGGAAGGATTCCCGATTTTGAGGGCGCAACAGTTACGATGTTTCGCGGAGGTGAGGTCCCAGGAATGGCGCTCTGGCACGATTCAGGATCGTCAAGACGCAACAGGCAGGTTCATCCGTGGCGTTGGAATACCGAGAATAATGTTTTGGCATGCTTCAGGGTCTTCAGACGGTTGTTTTCCAAGGAGGCAGGTCCCCCATTGGAAATGAGCCGTTGTCGGGTCCTCTGAAGAGGGAACTTTGGGGGATGGTTTATTCCAACATCGTTGCTGACTCTTGGGTTTACACTGGTCCTCTTCCTCCTCCTCCTCCTCCTCCTCCTCCTCCTCCCCTATCTAGTCCCCTATCCTGTTTCTCGCCCGCCATGGGCACACCAACATATAGCAACGGCGGTGCAATATGGGCCGGCGGGTTCTCGGCAGGTTCGGGTCACAGATGCCGCTCGGGCGCGGCCTTGGGGGCCCCAGAGCGTCCCAGGATCGCCCACAGGAGGCGCGAAAATGGTGGCAGGCCCCATGACCTCAGGCCAAGAGCGTTCCAACATCGTTGGTGACTCTTGGGTTTACACTGGTCCTCCTCCTCCTCCTCCTCCTCCTCCTCCTCCCCTATCTAGTCCCCTATCCTCTTGCCCGCCATGGGCACACCAACATATAGCAACAACGGTGCAATATGGGCCGGCGGGATGAGCGAAGCGATTGAGTTGACGGATTTTTTGCGGGCCTTCGCCGTGGTAGCCTTCGAGGATACATGATGAGAGAGAGGATGATGGAGGAGAGGGAGAAGCATGCGTAAAGGCGTGCGCCGAGGGGCTTCGCGCATGCCGCCGCCCAAAGAGGCCTGAAGAGGGCCCGAAGAGTCTCCGGAGAGGCCAGCCGCAGGGCAGCCGCACCTCCATTCCTCATTTTGACACGTGAAAAACCGTGTGATCTCCTGGGGCACGTAGAAACAAGTGAGACGTGCTCAGATGGCCTCGAGTGGCCGCTTCGCTGGGGACATCCTCGATGACAACAAACCTCGGGGGGGCTCCGAATATCAGTAATGACGGTTTCGCTCGAGGCGCCCTCGACAATCTGCCTGGGAGGGCGCTTGAACATGACCCCCCCACGGGACGACAACATGGCCCCAACGATTGGTACTCTCGGTTTCTTAATCAGCGTAGGGGAGGTCCCCCTCCGACGGGGGGTCAACCTCGCCTCGTCGTCGCGCCGCGACGGGGGTCGCAACGCCTTCGGCGCGTGGTGGCTGCCCGCGACAGGGGTCGACGTGGAGCTGTCGGCGGGGGTGACGCCCCCCCCCCGACGCTTATTGAGAAACTCGGAGTGCGTACCGACCCTCGTCGAGGCAGTACCCCGAACACCCAGTGAATGCAACATCTGTGTGCGAACTTCCCCCTGGGAGCTCGCCGTGTCTCCCGCCCTACGGGCTCCATTCGGCGGGCCGCCTGCGGGCTCTCGCCGTGCGAGGCTTCGAGGCAAGACAATGAGGTGATGGTGAAAGGGTGATCGTTTTTGTATTCCTTGTTTTGCCGATCGGCGCGGGCTCCCCCCCCCCATGGAGTGGATCATTCCAAACTAGTAAAAACAAACATCGTACCGGGACGATTTTTTGATTTTGTTTTTTTATGGGGGGGACAGTTTTTGCATATTTTTTGTTTTTTCATACAAAATCCCCCTGTAGGGGGACATGCTCGACTTAATCCTTGTTTTGCCGATCGGCGCGGGCCCTCAACCTCCCCCTCTCCCCCCCCCTTGGAGTGGATCTTGGCTGTTTTGGGTTGCCTGTTTCGAGCAGGTGGAGCCCCCCCCCATGATGAACGCACTGCTGCAAACAGTTGCACTGAGCAGAGGTCCGGAGCCAGACCCTTCCCCCTCCCCCCCCTTCCGCCCAATGTCGAAACGCCGAATAAGGAAACGCTCACATGGAGGAGGGAGAGAAGCACGTGTGAGACTGGCAAAGCGCGGCTTCGCGGAATCCGCTGGCCGATTCCGCATTACCGTCTTGTTGGAAGCATGTAAAAGCACGAGTGAAACGCGCTTCCAGCCCAACGGGAGGCCTACGCGCCTGACAGCTCCTGGGATACATGAAACCATGTGTGAGACGCACCCGCAGGGCTGCGAAAGCCTCGTTTCGGTGGACCACTCACGCATTTCCTGCGCCCCCAGGCTTCTGAGACACGTAAAACACGAGGCGCTTCAGCTCGGCACATCTCTCATGCACTCCGTGCATCATGGGAGCTCGGCTGGCCCCAGAGACTGCTCCGCGAGGTTTCAATTTGGCACACCTCTCACACATTTCGTGCTCCAGGGACCTCCAGGGGCGATCCGCTAGCCTTCACGACGGCTAAGTTGAGCTTGAATTCGGCACGTTCCTCAGGCACTTCGTGCCTCTCGGACTCCCAGGAAATCTTAACTAATCTTTAGTCGGGCATAGAAAGTAGTCTGGGGACGACTTCTTGACCATTTTTGAGGATGTTTTGAATCTGTTTCAGGTATAAAAAAATGTCGTCCAACATCCGCCTGTAGGGGGACACGCCCTACCTAAAGCTAACCTCTCGGACGATTCAGGGGAGCTTTGATGAGGCGCACCTCTCACGCACTTCGTGGCTCATGGACCTCCAAAGACCCCCCGTTGGCCCCGAAGACCACCTGCCTCCCAAAGGACACCAAGATGGCCCTGAGAAACATTGCAACGAGCGGTACCGACCTTCGTCGAAGCCCTACACCGAACACCGACTGCTTGCAACATCCGCGTGCCTGTGTCTCCAGCATGCATAAGGCATGCTAAGAGGGACTTCGCGGATTCACCTGGCCGATGTCAGCAATTCTCCGGGGGGCACGTTAAACTACGAGTGAAACGTGCTCCCAGCGCCAGGCCCATGCGCGTCACAGCTCCTGGGACACATACAAACATGAGTGGGCTGCGTCCTTAGGGCTGCCAAAGCCTCGTCCCGTCGTGCCCCTCACGCTTCTCTTGCCTGACATTGTCTTGCTACTCGTAAGAATACGAGTGATCATGTCCCTCCTGGCTGCGACACTGTAATTTCGGTTCGCCCCTGCATTTCCTGCTCCACACTCTACTGGCACATATGAAAGTACGAATGATCTGCGCTCCGAGGTCCACGCGGGGCTTAATTCCAAATACTCCTGACGCCTCTTCGGTTCAGACTGTTTCTGGTTCGCGCGCACGTGGCGGCCCCTGGGGGTCCCCGGACGAAAAGTACCCGACGGGTTCCCGGCAGGTTCGAGTCCCAGATGCCGCTCGGGCGCGGCCTTGGGGTCCCCAGAGCGTCCCAGGATCGGCCACAGGAGGCGCGAAAAAGGTGACAGGCCCCACGACCTCAGGCCAAGAGCGTTCCAAAATGGCCCAAGGTGATCTCAAGATGGCCCAAGAGGCGCCCAAGACGCCCAATGAGGGCTTCCGTATCCATTTTGGCTCAAGGCTTTTTAGTACAAGTACTTTTGGTCTCTGATCGTCATAGCTCCGTATAGCTATCGATACCGAATAGTTTCGTATAACTTCAATTTCAATCCTGCACGGTCCAAGCTATGTTTCAAGTCCTGGCGCAGCTGTGTGCAGTGGGGTTTGTAACTACTTGCGCTGAGCACGTGGACCTGCAGCTCATGCAGATGCACACGGCCAGTCTCTTGCGTGGCAGTGAGATCTGGCCGGGATGCAGTACTTCAACCCAGGGCGACGAGTGTTACGAGAAGGTGATGTGGGCGATGCGGACGGGCATCAAACAACACCCAAAGTGGTATATCCCTCTGACGAGTAATTCCAGCTTTGAGGACTTCCAGCAGCACCTGCACACCGTGGATCGGCTCTCTGACGTGTGCCCCAAGCCATGCGCAGCGGCGCAGTCAGAGGAGCGACCGACAGAGCAGTTGCCCGCAGTGCCACATGCATGCCGCACCAGTGTTGAGGGCGACGAGTGTTACGAGAAGGTGATGTGGGCGATGCGGACGGGCATCAAACAACACCCAAAGTGGTATATTCCTCTGACGAGTAATTCCAGCTTCGAGGACTTCCAGCAGCACCTGCACGGTGTGGACAAGTTCTCCGATGTTTGCCCCAAGCCTTGCTCTTGGCGGTCAGAAGACCAGCTCCGGATAAGTAATGGATCCCCGATGCCTACAGCTCAATATACCGGAACTCCGATGCCTACAGCGCAGCATGTCGGAACTCCAATGCCAACAGAAATCCATGAGGATGACCTACTCGTATCGGCCTACCCTGGATACGAGCAAACTGGTCGTAACTGCCAGTGTGGAACACCAATCAAACAGTTCTCAGAAGAATACGATTCTCTCGAGTTGTGTGCCGCGGAGTGCAATTTGTACCCCAACTGTGCCGCCATTGCTCTTCATCCTTGGCAGTCTATCTGGAGAGGCCAATGCGATCTCTACAATGCAACGTGTGTGGAAACGAACGGGCATGACTCCAACACCACCTGTGCCAACCCAACCCCGCTTGGAGCCCTCAGTGTCAATTTTAACCGGGTACCGACGCCCGCGCCCACGCCTGCACCCACGCCTGCACCAGACCCTTGCGATGTTACGGATGGATCGTTTCCGAGTGCTTTCTACCCGTGTCAGTGCGGGCCTGATGTGGTGTGTGTCACAAGCGAGGTTTGCTCAAAGGACAGGCGAGGCTATTCGTGCTCTCCTCCGGGCATTCTCAAGGTAGAATGGCCGTGTTTGACGACTTCGATCGGCAGCCCCTACTTCGTGCTTGCTGGGAGTAGCGCAACAGGAGCGCCAGTGTACAGCAACACCGATGGCAATTACATATATTGGGATGTGTCGTGCGATGGCATCGAGCGACCTTTGCAAGATCAGCAGCCGCGATGGATTCTCGACTCAGACTCACCAAACATGACATCGACCATTGATTTAGATTCTGATTCGGAGTGCTTTTATTTTGGGCACCACGGTAGTTCTGATTTCAATGGTGTCCCTTTGGGGAGCACAGTTTGGACGGTGGCATGCGACGGTGAAGTTTCCGACATGACGGTGAACATCACTTATGAAGCATATTTTCCCACCCCATCGCCCACGATGGAACCTGGGGCACCGTGCACTTGTGACCAGGGATGTGGCATGTTTCCTTACCTTGACTTAGATGGTGATGGTTGCCTAGTGGAGGCAGAAGTGAACAAAGATGAGAGTCTCACCGGGCACTTTACCGAGATCGACACGGACGGGGACGGCTGCGTTACCCAGACAGAGTGTGGGGACTCGCCGTATTCGAGTGATTTGTCTAGGTTCCCAATCCAGGGCCCACAAGAATGCGACTACGGATACTATTTCATAGAGGGCACCAGCGTCTGCCAGCAATGCGCCAACGGTGCCACGCGGCGGCGCCGCTCGGAGGCCTGCAGCGACTGCCCCGCGGACAAAGAGGACGTGGGCGACTTCGATAACTGCATCTCGGGGGTGTGGCTCACTGAACCACTCGCGGTTGGGTCCCGCGTTGCCTTCGTCAACAAGGACATAGACGAGAGCGGCGTATTGCTGCAGAAGGGCGATGGGATCACCATTTCGACACGAAACCCTGGCCACTTCGAGAGAATGATTATCATCGACAAGGTTGGTTTCAATGATACCCAGAGGTTGTCGTCACACCATGAGTCCCTGCTCCGTACGAGTGGGCCTTTTTTCGTGCTGGACCACGGGGCGAACGCGCCCTTCAACACGTTCGACCCGATCGTCTCTGCTTGTACAGATGTAAGTGGAATCTCGCTTAGCGGACAGTACCCATGCGGATGCGGCATCGAAATCTGCGATTTCGGGTACAGGTGTGACGAGCAGTGCAGTGGGAACAATACGGTCCTCGATTCTTACGCGGGTATCAGCTACGGGAACGGCGGATGCTGTATCGGCCCCCCTGTCTCTATTCTGCCCACCCCAGCCCCGACAGTGTCGGCCAAGGGTGACCCGCACTTGGTCAACCTTCAAGGCGAGCATTTCGACGTTAACCACGGTGGCGAGTTCACATTGCTCCGGATCCCGCAGGCCGCCGACAGGACCGCCGAGGTGCAGCTTCAGGCAACGATCCGCCCCGAGCACGGGAAGCCATGCACCACGTACATCACCGCGGTTGAGCTATCGGGCGCGTGGATCGGTGAGGCGGTCGTGCAGGTGCGCTCCTACCTCAGGTCACACAACAAGAATGGAAGCGACGAGTTCTTAGGGCTCCGGGTGCTGGAACCAGGCGCACCAGAAGATGTTCCGTGGACGAGGCTCGCGGATTGGACCGATGAAAACATCCTTCTCTCCGAGAAGCAGGCAAAGGAAGGCGTCAGGGTGACAATGTCCAAGTCACAGTGGCGCACCAAAAAGAACATGAAGGAAGGATTGCCGACCGTAGCCGGGCAGATTCAGATCATGATGCAAAGCAAATTGAGCGAGGATTCCGCAATGATCGTCGTCCGCCAAGACCTCCCCATGCAGGAGCACCTGAATTTGGCTGTACGGCGTTTGAGCGCACTCGGTCGTGCAGACATTGGTGGACTTCTTGGGTTCGATGCGCATGCCGAGTCGCTAGAGGATGTCACGCCAGAGTGCCAGCGTCACAGGGATGGATTGGACACGAACAAAGGTCCGCACTCAACACCACGCTGGAAGATTCGTTGGCAGAAGATCAAGGAGCAGCGCGCGAGAAATCCCGCACCGGGTGGGTCAATGAACGACAACGAAGCGGCTGCCAACCTCCTTGGTAAGATGCGAATGCAAGAGAAGGACATGATGTGCGTCTGCCCCAACGAAGGTCCCATGCATCCCACAGGGGACGACTACGCCGCGAATCTGATTGGTGGCAGACGCCTGGGCGTCCTTGCCAAGTTCCAAACTGGCAGGCTTGCGGAGGCAACGTGGGACTGATGAACGCGCGTCGAATTGGCCGGCGCGATCGCCGGCAGCCTTGGGCGGATTTGCCGCGTCTGCAGGGCGGACGAGCTCCCGTGTCCCGTGTCTACATCAAGAAGCTTGCCAGGTTGCCGTTTGGGCGGCCCCGCAGGCCTCGCTACGTCGGTACAGGTCGCGAGAGGCGGCGGGGGATGGGTCAGAGGCTTCAGCGGGGGCAGGCGGAGATGGAGGAGAGAGAGCCGTCTTCTCGTAGTTCATTCACGTCAGCTAAGGACTTTAGCGGAGGAGCTCACGCGCCAAATTCAGGTTGGCGGGGTCTCTGGCCGAGTGCGCTGCAAGCGGCGGTGTTTCACTTCAGCTCGTTAGGGGCGGCAGAGATTGGTCAGAGGTTACGGTGGGAGTCGTGAAGGCGAGGGTGGAGGAGGAAGAGCCATGTAATTCAGGCGCGCATTTTTGTGCTTTTTGATCCGTTGAGTCTTCTCCAGTTTGCTTGTGCGTGCTCGATCCCCTTGTCTTCGCAATGTGTTTAATAACACGTCTCAGAGCTTTTGTGTGCCATGTGCTCACGCGCGCAGCCAGCGGGAGCAGCACGTCGATTGGACGTACCGTATGCCGAGTCCCGGAATCCCATGGCATCGGGAAAAACAGATCCGCCCCAGGAGGGCTCCAAGACTACCCCAGGAGGGCTCCAAGACGACCCCAAGAGGGCCTCGGGAGGGCACATCACGGAACTTGTGCTAGGGTTTTTGTTAGATTTTGGCGATACCGCCTTTTCAAGTCTCCGACCGCCCAGGACGACCCAAGAGGCCTCCGAGATCGTCCCAAGTCAGCCCAAGAGGCTCCCAGGACGGCCCCAAGACGGCCCAAGAGGCCTCCACCGAGGGCCCCCAAGAGGCTCCCAAGAGGGACCCCAAGAGGGGCAATCCGAGCAGACATGTCGAGTCTTCCCTGAAAGTTGGCCCCCTAGGCCGTCAGCAGGCCGCGAAGAAGCCCTCGAGAGGTCACCAGGAGCCCAAAAGGATGCCCCACGGGCCCCCCACAAAGGGCCCCAGAAGGTTTCAACAGTGCTGCCAGGAGGCCCCCCGAGAGACATCCTGAGGGACCCCAGGAGGTCTTCCAAAACAGGCGTCTTGCCCGCGACCCAGATTGGCCCCCACAGTTCCCCAAGAAGTCGTCGAGAGGCCTCCTCCTCCGCCTGCATTCATTCTCCTTATAAACAACTTTTCCCTGTCGCACCCTGAGGCCAGTTGCGTTTCGCCTGAGACTTCCTCACCACTAATGACCCTGAAGCTTAAACATTGGCAACAGTTTCACATATGGAGGGCGGGTCGTTTTCAAAATGTGGCTCTCGCCTTAGCCCCGCGCACATTCGTTTTTTAAACGTTGCAAGAATTTCACGGATTGAGGGCGGATGGTTTTCAAAATGTCATCCTCGCTTTAGCGCGGCGCACATTCGTTTTCAACATTTGCAAGAGCTTCGCGGATTGAGGGCGGATCGTTTACAACATGTGGGTCTCGCCTTAGCGCCGCGCGCATTCGTTTAACAAAATTGAAAAAGGTTTCACGGATTGAGGGCGGGTCGTTTTCAAACTGTGGTTCTCGCTTTAGCGCCGCGCACATTCGTTTTCAACATTTGCAAGAGCTTCACGGATTGAGGGCGGGTCGAAGAAGAATACTTCGGGGGTACTAAAGTTTTTTACCATAAGATGAGAATTGTCTCGCTGGTCACGCGTGCCGCGGAGGACCGATGAGGATGCAAAGGTGCCTTGATGCGGATTCGCGAGCCTTTGTGGGCCCTCTGGGACGGCCAACCAGTGAACCGAGAGCGGCCGCAGTGGAGAAGGATGCCCAGGGTCTCACGGCATCAATGCAACAAGGAATGCAATGAAACATCGCGTTGGCATGATAAGGACAGGGTCGATGGGGATGATGACACGGACGATGAAACGTGACCCAAGCGGAGTGGTTTACTGTGAATGGGTTCAAGTCGGAGTATTTTCCGGCCCTATTTTAAATGAGACGGAGTAATTACCACCCTGTTTTAAATGTATTCTTACAGGGTGAGAGCCCATCGGAGTCGAACCGCCGCCCGACCCAAAACATGTCGCTAAGATTCAAGGGGGGGCAGGGGGCGTC